AATAATCATTTAAAAATTAAATTCTTTTTCAACAATAAAGTCAAAGAACTTTAAAACTAAACTTTTATTTTTATTTTTTATTTATTTTTATCTAATTATTTTTTTTAAACCAAATACAAAATTATTACAATCGAAAAAGAACTTCTTTTAACGCAATTTAATAACATTATTATTTATCTTTTTTGTTAGTTGTTATTTTTTTTTACTAAAATTAAATAAAATATTTTAATATCTTTTTTATATTAATTTAATTATTAATTGACCTTTTTATATCTTATTTTATTATAAAATAAATTTATAAAATATCTTTATTATATTTATATGTTTTTTAATTAATTTATTCATAATTTTATTTGTTATTCATTTGTTTAATTAGACAGTATATTATTTTATTAGAAATTATGTATTTATCATTATTTGTGTAGTCATATATAATGCCATTTTTTTTTATTACGTTTATTGTATTACCTTTAAATTTTTTTTTAGATTTATAATTATTGTAAACTTTCTCTAAAGAGCAGAAATACTAAATAACTTTTTTAATTGAAATTATTTGTCTATAATAACAATAGTTCATTTAGACTCTTCTCGATTCTTTCTGTTCAAGTTACCAAAGGTCTCTTGTTTTTTTTTTTTCTCTATACTTAAATACCCCCTTTAGTTATCGTCTTTCATTTCTCTTTCTATAAGTTCAATTGAATATTTTTCTCTAAATTTCATTGTATAATTTTGTGATACAAAAACATTTTTTGCTTATAAAAATAAATAACAAATTTTATTCACTTTACTATTTGTGTTATTTTTTAATTCCTTTTAAGTTTGTCAAAAATCTCAAATCTTAAAAATAAAAAGATAACTGAAAACTTAAAAATCAGACATGAATTATAACAACACAGCTACTACAAACAAAGAGCCAAAGCTTCTTGTATCTAAGTTATCAAAATGTGGATTTCTTTTAATATTTGCAATGTTTGTTGTTATTGTAACTTTCTGTATTAGTATATCAATGACCATCCCAAATCCATGGTTTTCTAAAACCCTATCAACGTGGGATTGTGACGAGAAGGTCTCTAGTTTTGATAAAAAGATATGTCACGGTATTGATTTAAATGAACAAAAAACAAAATTAACTGTTGCTTTTGGACCATTTACAGTATTAAACCAAGAAACACGTATATCATTAATACCTCAAAAGAGATTTGGTAGAGAAGGAATATCTGGTTTGTTTTATAATCTTTTTATTCTTTTTGAGAAAGAAAAAAATAACAAGTAAATAGCAAAAGGAATTACTGAAATTAGTTATAAGTTATATGGATCAGCTTTACCTATTGATAAAACTAGTAAAGTTAATATCAACTCATTAGAACTTCTTGAAGAAAAAACAATAACAAGAAAAATAAAATGCCCTGCATCAAAAGGTCTTGATTGTAAAGCAATTCCACTTGTTTCACAAATTTATTTAACACACCCAAATTACCTTCTCGAATTTACATTTACACCAACTGATATTTCATTAGGAGATATTATTGTAGAAAATTCATATATTTCTACTTCATACTCAGTATTTGAAATGTTTTGGAGAATGGCATTTATTTTGTTTTCAAGTTTCTGTTGTATGTTATATCTTTCATCAATTAAAGGTATCCCAATTAATCAATGGTGTCATGAGCAAAAGTGGACATTTATATTAAACATTGTATTAATATTATTTAATAATCCATTCTTCTTTTATGAATATGTAGTAGATAGTGTAACATTCTTATTATTTAATACTGGTATTGAAACATTCTTTATCTGTTTCTTAATGTTCTATGTTCTTTCCATGTTTGAAGCATTACGTAAACCATTAAATGTAAGAAAATCATTTAGATTTATTCTTCCACGTGCATTGTTATTATTAACATTATTTATATTAGTTTTCACAGAGTTAATGTATAATCGTACAACACCTAATTATTCTATTACATTAAAGGGAATTGATGATCCTGCAAATGTTGTTTTATCAATTTGTATTTTAGGTGTTATAGTGATTTATGTCTTTTGGTTAGTATTTGGTATTATTCGAACTTATTCAGAAAGTAGAAAATTAGGACCTGTTTCATTACGTTTAAAATATTACGGAGGATTTACTATCTGTGTAATTATACTGTATTTGTGTCTTTTAATTGCTGCTAATTTCATGGGATACCACAATAATGCTTCAATTACTTTGACTACATTGGCTTATGTCAACCTCTATGTTATGGTTTTAACTGTTTTATATCTTCCTGTAGAAATGAATAACCTTCCAGGAAATCATTCAAGTCTTCAAAATAATGTGATTCATTTAGATGAAGAGATTAAAAGTGGAGATGATGATTTAATTGTAGTAGATGATGAAAAAGGAAATGACCTTATTGTCATTGATGAGTAGTTATAATTCAGTTCCTTCTTCTTTTTTAATTAATATTGTTCTAAAACAAGAAATGTCAAAATATAGATATTATCTATTTAAACATTGTTTTTTGAAATTATAATGAGCTTTTATTTTTAGTATATTATTTGAGAATTATTTCCTTCAGTTTCTTCCATTCTTTTTTTTTTATTAACACAGTAATTTAACAAATGAAATAAATCTTATTATTCAGTCATGAATACTCGCCGTATAATGAGCCTTAGTGCTGTAGATGATCAAGAGATTATTTTAACATCAAAATATACTACAACAGAATCTCCTCAAAGTCCTAATGCATTATTAGTCACAAAAGAAATTTCGCAAATACTAAATGGTTCTTGGACAGAAGAAGGGCTTGACCAATTAAATAGTATTCTTAAAGATCCTTGTGTGATAGAAAAGTGTAAAGCACCAGAAATACCTAATTAATGTGATTATTTACTAAATTATTTTTTTATTTCTTTTTCAATTCATTTTTAATTAATTAATTAGATTATGAAAAGATGTGTTGTTCCTTGTGGTATAAAAAGTGCAATGAACAATTTTCTCTTTATGACTATTTACAATTGAACTAGGTGAAGTGAAAGATGTCATGAAAAATAATTTAATGATTATGAATGGAAATTTTTACTTAAATAAAATTATTTGTTAATATATATGATATAAGAATAGCCTCAATATAATAACACAATATCATTAAATTAACAACATTAAACACATTACAATGTCCAATATTAGTATTTTTATTAATTTAGAATATTTCCTATAAAACAAAACTACATAATATAAGTAAACAAAAAAGAAATAGAATTAATAAGCAAATAGAGAAAAAAAAAGAACATAAAGAATTACTACAAAACAAGACAACCAAAAATAAAGGAAATCAACATAGTTGATATAACCATTAATAGTCAAAATTATAATACTATAAACATTATATAAAATAATGAATTAAAAGATAAAACCAACTAAATTAATTTAAATCCTTTTATAGAATTATTATAAAATAAAAATATCGAATAAAAATAATTATCATAAATATTTTATTCAATAAATCTCATAATGTTGGAATAGTTTTTAAATTTAAATAGAAGGATATTATTAGTTTAACAATACAACCTATATGCTAAAATAATAAAGAGTGTACCAACAAAATACTAGTTTAAATATTAATGGTATTATTATTGTGCACTGTACTATAGATGTAAAAAGAAATGGATACATTATTAATACCTTTTCTAATCAATTATGAATATTAATAGAATTAACATAAAAATAAACTAACTGATAATATCAATATTATAATAACTAAAAAAATTAAAGCGATATTATCACATCAATAAATAATAAACTAAGAGATGTTAACTACAAAAATAACAATTAATAATTTATAAGAATTGACAAATAATATATTTATAAATTAATTGGTAAATCAAGTTACAAATTAATGTGGATAATGTAAGAGAATAAAAATATATTAATAATTAAATAAATATTGAACATACAAAATAATAAACTAAGAAAGTAAAATAAGTTTGTGAAAACAAATTAAAGATGTAATAATAATAGATAATAGTAATCATAAAATTAAAGTATTTTATTCAAAATTTTAATTCAATATAGTGAGTAATGAATTAACTTTTATTAAATGATAAATATCAGAATTAAGTTTTGTTAATGAGAATATTTTATTTAATAAATCATTAAATTTATAAACCATAACCATATAAATGTTTTTTGAATTATTGTTTTTATTTATGAATAAAGGAAAATAGAATATTATAAAAAAAATATTCAATGATTAAAAAGAAGATTGAGTTCTTTTAAGATGAGTAGATTCAATAAATTCACACTGAGTAAATATGACCGATTCTAGATATTCTAATAGTTCTATCTTTGTTTCTGATGAACGGCGTAAACGAATAATAAAAGAGAGATCATTTTGATTGATCATTTCTTTATTTCCAAAACACTTTGAGAGAATTAAGTTGAACTTTTTCATTTCTTCAAAAGAAGTTGTAACACTTTGCATTAAAAGGAATAAAAAGAATTTAAAAAGATAGATTTATTTTTACAAATAAACAATATAAACGACGATAATCAATCAATTTTATAAAAATTGTTTTGTAGCATCAACCGAATCATTCCAAAGCTTTGTGCATACTTCACTATCGTCCATAATTTTGTTGTGTTCTGCTGGTTTACAATCTGCATAATAAGCTCCGTTTGTAACGGACTCAGAGTGAATTAAATGAAGACAGGTTTGTGCTCCCTCTAACGGAGTCTTAAAAACAACTTGAAGAATTGGCCAACAAAGGTATTGAAGCCATACTGGGAAAAATTGCCATAGTGAAGTATTAACACATCCTGGATGAAGAGAAACAGCAATAATATTATCATTCTTTTTTGCAAGTTCTTGAGCCATAATGGCCATAGATAACTTGCTTGCGCAATACCATCTCATTGAAAAGAATCCTTTTTCTTCTGCAACAAATGGAAGCTCTTTACGATGATATAATTTACTTGCAACAGAAGAATAATTTATAACTCTTCCGTTACACTTTTCTAAAGCATTAAGAAGTTTTTGTGTAAGAAGAAAATGACCAAGATAATTCACTCCCATTTGAGTTTCATACCCTTGTTTAGTCTTTCCGTAAGGAACTCTCATGACTCCAGCATTATTAATCAAAATATCAATCTCATGATATTTATTTAAGATATTTTCTGCACACTCTTTTACCGAATCTAAATCTGATAAGTCAAGGTGTTCATGAATAATATTACAGCTTTTATGTACTGATTTAATTTCTTCAATTACTTTCTGGGCAACTTCATTATTTCTTGAACATGAAATAATAGTAGCTCCACTATCAGCAAGTTGCTCTACAATAACTTTACCCATACCATGAGTTCCACCAGTAATAACAATAACTTTTCCAGATAAATCTCTTTTTGCATGATTAATACCACCAGCAGCGTATAATCGAACAAGCACTAAGACAGCACCAAGAATGATTAATGAACAAATTAAAGTGATAATATCCATTAAGAACAAAAAATAAGATAAATAAGATCTGTAGATTTAAAATAGGAAAGGAAGTAGAAAAAATAAAATGAAACTTTCTTTAGATTTTTTTTGTTATCTAAAATAGAAAAGAGTAATAAAATCTCCTATAAATTAATTATGAAAACCAGCCATTAGTTAAAACATAAAAATAGAAAGTATATAATGGGGATATTTGACTTAATACTTCTAATCAATAGTTACTTAAATTGAATTAAACCAAATTCATAAAAATTGAATTGTCTTCTATGTTAAGGGATTTTAAGAATGTTTTAATGTAATTAGGTGTTATAACAGGATTATATGATGATAAATGAACTAAAAGATCTAAAACCGAAGATTGGAATTGGTCTTTTGCAAAATAGTATTGAAGATAAAGAAAAACGATTAAATCGTTCCAAAGGGAATCTGGGACACTAATTGTATTTAAAAGTTTTATTATAATAGGAAGAATTGATTTATTATGAGTTTGAATATGAAAAGAGAGAGAATGAATGAGTTGAGATAAATGACGAGTAATAAAAATTTGAGAAGTTGTGATTAAAGGAATAATACGATCTATATAAAATTGAATTCTTTCATTTATTGCATAATATAGTCCATCAATAAATTTTATTATTAATAAATCATAATATTTAATTTGAATTTTTGGTTGTGATAAAATTATTGAAATCCACTGAATCATTACTTCATATGAAAGTGATATTAATTCATCATTAAAAGATGTTAAATTATAACTAATACTTCTTGTAAAATCACCGCAACAAACAAGAAATTCATTTAAATCAATTTTTTTTTCAATAATTTTATTTAATACAATAATTTTATAATTAATTTCATCTTGGTTTAATTGATTAAGCCATTGAATGATTTCTTTTTTAACCATTAACAAATAAATATTTTAAGATTCGTAATAAAAAAAAAAAGATAATTAGTAAATATTCTCATATTTGTATTTTCTATATTTTCAAAACTAATTATTTTTTATTTACTTTTTTATAAATTTCTTGTCTTCTTGTTCTATTATACTTCAATTGTAATTATTACATAAAAACAAATAAAAATTGAAATACAAAATTTGTAATTAATCCATTTCTTGATTAACTGATACAATTTCAAGAAACATTTTTTCTTTTACTTTATCAGCTAATGTTTGTAATTCATGAAAAGCACTAGGGTCAATAATAAATTCATATTTAATTCTTGTTTCAGAACTTTCTTTAATACTTTGATTTTTAATTTGATCTTTAATTAAATTTAAAACTTCATCTTCAAGGTCTTTAGTTATATCAACAGAAATAACCATTGGCATTCTTTCAATTGGAATTTCAGGATGTTTTTTTAATAATTTAAGAATAAGTAATGATTGTTGTTTTGCTGTTTTTGAAGTAACAATATTATATTTTAAATCTTTTATAAGTTTTTCAGCCATTTTCATAGAAATTGGTTTTTTTGTTTCTTTATGAATAAGTTTTTGTGTTAATAAAATCATTACATCTTTATTTAATGAATCTAATTGTACTTTTCTTTCTTTCTCTCCTTTTTGAATTTCTCCATTTTTTAATATTTCTAATATAATATCATCCTCATTTGTTTTACCGAATGCTTCTTTTAAATCTTTCTTTTTTGCAACTTCTCCTTTTTCTACTGACTGATAAATTCTTGTTAATTGTAATACTTCATTTAATGGCATTTCACTATTCTTTTAAGTTTTTATTTCCTTTATTATAACTGTACTTATAACAAACACTCCTTGTCTCCATGCTGCAACTGTATTTGGATAACATGCAATTTCAAATTTTTTCTCACCTTTTACTAATCTAACTACAGAAATATTTGTTAATAATTTAACTCCTTGTGGTTGTTTGAGCATAGCTTTGAGTTATAATTTATTTTGTTCTTATCAAAACCAAAAATATAAATTTGTTAAATCTGAATAAACATGAATAAATGAAAAACCCTATTTTTTTGTAATTCAATTTCATTTCCTATTCATTCTTTTATTCTTTATTTTAATTAATTTCTCTTTTTTACTTATCTGCTTTATTTAATACTAAACTCTATGTCAGTCTTCTTTACAATTGGTTGTTATCACTTTACCGTTTTTATTAATACTTAATATTTCATATATTAACAATTTATATAACAATTTAATAACATTATAAATGTATTTAAATATGTATTTATGTAGAGAATTATGTAAGCACTTTATCTATTATTATTTTAAATGAATATTTTCTCTCTTTTAAGTTGTTGAAATCTTTTTGTTTTTGATTCATAATAGTATCATAAAAAAATAAAATTCAATAATAATGTTTATTAAGAAAATGAATATTAATTTTTTAAGGTTCTGTACTTCATATAAAAGAGAAGGTATTTAAAAATTTAAATTCAATTTACAAAGAATAAAAAAACTATTAAAATCAAATAATTCTTAATATTGAATAATAATTCAAACAATAGTGCATTTATTATTATTTTCTTCTTGAGGTTTAAACGGATGACTGGCAGTAGGAATTGTTGGTGAAGTTAAGAGGTAAGGAAGGTTTTCATGATTAGAACAGAAAGAGGTAAGCCATAGGATGAAGTCATGAATTGAAGGATTATCATTTTCAATTTTTGTTTTAAATTGTTCAATTTCAGATTGAGCTTCATTATCATGGAATGAAGTAAATATAAATGGACGTTCAACAAAACTACAAATAATTGTTTGAAGAAGATACTTATATCTCCAATCTCCTCCAAAAACACCACAACCCCATTTACCACTAATAAATGGAATTAAATGGTCTTCTTCAGATAAACATTTAACACCACTAAAAATTTTATTTAATTCACGGATGGTTTGTCGTTCATTGTATTGTTCACTTGGATTTACATAAGCAACAAGAGCGTCTAAAGCTACAATATTATTAGAAATTAGTTGTTCAAATTCTTTACTAAATTTAATCCTTCTACCATAACCCTCAAGTTTAACATAACGAATAATATTTTTAAATAAAATAGTTGTTTGGTCATCCATAACTGGATTAGTTATCATACTAACAAACATTTCAGGACATTCCATAAACATAATTTCTTCTTGAACACATCCGCCATGAAGTACACCTCCTCCAATATACTTATTAGCAAAGTCAGCTTTAAGATTTTCTGTTTCATTAATTTCCATAATTCCATGAATATTATCAACATCTCCTGGAATAATTTTCTTATTAGAATTTAATAATTCTTTTAATGAAAGTTGGGATGAATGTCTTTCAATTTCAATTATTTCATTCATAAATTTATCGTTAGAAACTTCTTTAAATATTAAATGAAAATAATGAATAATGCATTGTGTCATAGTTATTGACACTGAATCTTCACAAAATAAGAAAAATGGAAATTGTGAATATCCATTAAACTTTCTTTCATCTTTACGTAATTTAATTGAGTATAAACCAAATAATAAACATGATATTACACATAAACTTTGTTTTCTTGTAAACATTACTTTACCTTCTTTATATAAAATTACAGGTGGTGGTAAAAGTATATTTTGATGATTAATAATCATTTCTTTACATAAAGGAATTAATTCATTTTGTACAATATTTTTTTCTTTCTCATTTAAATTTTTAAATGATGGAAATGTTTTTATACAAATTTTTTTTTCTCTTTTATCTTTTTCATTTGTAAAAATAGATGCCATATATTTTTGTAAATCTTCTATTGTTTTTATATTTAATATTGCTCTTTCTAAATATTTCCACTCTGCTAAATAACATGGTAAATCAATTGTCATCCTTGGTTGTTTTGGTGGTTGGTAATCCTCTAATTTAAATGAGTATGAGTGCTGAAATGGACAATCTTTTGAAATACAAAATTGACCAAATTGGCATAATGTTGATGTCATAAAATTAAATTGTATATTTAAAGTTTTGTTTATCTAATTAAATCACATGACGTTTCTTATAATTATAATTATTTTTTATTATTATAAAGCTAATTTTATTGAATTATTAAATTATTACTATAACAATAATTATTATTATTCATTATTTATAATTATTATTTAATCAGGTTTTTATTACTTCAATTTAAACATATGAAGTAAAATGTTTAGAAGTGAAAAAAACATAATCTTTTTTCATATAAAATAAAATCAATCTTTGTTATTTCAATTTAATGTCAAACCAAATAACTGATGACCCTTTTAATCTTCAAAGATTTATTGATGGACAAGAAACAGGTATTACTCCACGGTATCATGCACAAACATATTCTACTGCATTAGAAGAAGTAAAAAATGGGAAAAAAGTAACACATTGGATATGGTATGTATTTCCTGTTATACAAGGACTATGGGGAGGAAGAAATAATGACCTATATAACATTCGGACATTAGATGAAGCAAAAGCATATTTAAACCATCCAATATTATCAACTAGATTGAGAGATATAACTACTACATTACTTAATCAAAAAAATACCCTTTCCCCACTTAATATTTTTGGAAGTACTGATGTTCACAAAGTTTTATCATGTATGACATTATTTTATTATATCTCAAAAGATAAACTATTTAAAGATATTGTTGATAGGTATTATAAAGGTAATTTTCATCAAGAAACACTAACTATTCTTAAATGTCTTTCTACATCATAAAACTTATTTCTTTTTAATTGTTAAAGAATCATTTAATTTTATAAAATTATACTCTTTTTTTTTTTAATTAACTTACATTATTCTTATTGTAAAAAAATTGAAATGATTTTAAATTATATAATTTATTTATCTTTTATTTTTGAAGATACTTTGATTAAATTTAATTAATTTTTATTTTATAAATATTTTCAGTTATCATTATTATTTGTTATAATTATATGTACAATTATTTATAAACTTTTTTTAAAAGAGCACTTTAAACTTAAAAAAAAGTATTTGCAGAATACTTAAATTTAATTCAAAAGATAATTTAATAGAGGTTGGTATGAGACATTACTCACTCAATTTTATTTTCTTCTTTCAATTGTTATTTTTAAATTTGTTTTATGAAAAAAAAAGAAAAATTTAAAATAAAAAACTTAAAACAAAAAATTATATTTTTTGAACATGATTTCTCTACTTCTTATTTTTTCACTCTGCACATTTGCTTATCTTAGTACTAGTGATGAAACTAATTTTGAATTGTTCTTGATGGATATGGAAGACGAAGGGCCTTACAACTATAACAAGGCAAAAAGTGAGATTCAAAAGTTATCAAAAACAGCAAGTCAGCTCATAAAAAGTGCTCGTAAAATGGCATCAAAAAGTTCTTCAAGTGCTCGTAAAATGATAAATGATGCACATAAACATAAAGGTTCTCAAGGAATTCGTGGATAATTTATTTTCATTGTTATTATTTTATTTTTTTTAATGAAAAAAATTATATAATATATTAAATAAGTTATAATTATAAGATTCTACAAATTTTGATTTAAAGTTAAAATAAACGCTTAATCCATTATATATCACCTATAAATAAACACCAAGTATACTGTCTAAGTAACTTTTTTAAAATATTTGGATGATAAGAAATTTAAAGGTTAATGTTATAAATTTCTAAATGGTAAAAACATTTTGAATATATCTGTTTATGTTAGCAGATAAAGCAGTAGAAATATTATCGATAAACTTATGTCCAAATTTTATAAAACAAACATTTCTAAGAGATAAATTTTATATTCTAAAAGAGAGGTCCTAGATACTCAAAAATTAAAAGCTAATAAACAAAGAAAATAGTCTTTGAAGATAAATAAGATATAAGAATAAGAGATGGAGAAGAAATTTATTAGTACATATAAATTAAACAAAAAGTTTTAAATAAAGATGTTCATAAAATCATAAGATAGAAAGTATTTAATAGAATAACTAAAATGAATGGAATAATATGAAAATAATTATCATAGTAAAAATTTATTTAAAGAATCTTTAGTTATAGTGTAATTAAACATAACACAGAAATAACAAAAGAATATAACAAAAATATCAAAATGAGTTTTATAAAAAAGTAAATTAATTTAACTTCATCAATTTAGAATAATTGTAGAATAAATTATTAATATATTAAACAATGATTAAAAAGAAAATAAATTAGATTAATTAATTAATAATTATAAGAAAAAAATATAAAAAGTATTTAAATTAAAATTTAATATAATAGATGTAATAAATTATTAATAGGATACCTTAATTTTACAGATATATTTATTGTATTACAAAATAATAAATTTATTAATAAAACTAGTATAAATTATAGTATTTTACAATATAATAAAAGTAAATAAAAATATACATGTTAATAAATTATAAATCATAAAATATAGGTAGTAAAATTTTTTATCTACTGGAAAAGTTTTTCATTTATCTCATTTTTATGTTACTTTTAATTAACAAATATATCATTTTAATTAAACATAACTTTTTGAAACTAATAATACTTTTATAAAATGAAATGCAACACTAAATAATAAATATAAATTATTATTCAAGTAATAAAGTACTCAAACATTTATTCGTATTGAATAATTTATATTTCAATAGTGTTTTGATATTAAAATAACAAGATAATTTATTGTTATATATATACAGGTGAAAATATAATCAAAGTTTTGTAAAACCAAATTAATATAAATATAAATAAATAAATTGTAATTAAATTATTCATAGCTAAAGAAAAGTAGTAAAATTTGAATACTTAAAATTATATACAATTACCATATCAAAATAATAAATTCTAATAATATATTTATTCTAATTTATTGATAAATTAATGAAAAAAAGAATGTATAAATAATATATTAATAATTGGGTATATATTAATTATTTCATATTTATTTTTTGTTATTTCTTTTCTTCTTATTTTATTAGTATAATAATATGAGAAATTGAAATTTATTTTTAATAAGAATCATTTAAGAACTTAGTTTGTATGATTAAATTGGAATAATAATGTTTTGAATGATTCTTATAATAAAATTATATTTTTATATTTTTTATATCATTAAATATTTGATAAATATTTTTAATGAAATAGTTATAAATGAATATTATCATTAATTAATTAAGTTATTGGATAAATTTGATTATTTCATATATATCTTTCTTGATTCAATTTGATTATGTTGTTTCTCTTTCTTCATCATTTTCATATATTGTTCTTTTTATACTTCTTATTTATGAAATTATTCATATTTATATTTTAAATAAATATTTCATCTATTAGATATTCTTTATGTTTATTTGTGTATTTATTTGTGTAGTTATTTATTCTTTATTAATATTATGTTCTGTTATAATATTAATTATAATAAACAATATGAATGTAAACATTGGATATTTTCTATTTCATTCTTATTTTTAATTATATTCTAATTTTTATTTTCAATTTATTTTCAATAGTATTATATTTCATTATTTTGTTGTTATAACAATCAATCATTTATAATGATTCATATAATTTCATTTTATTTTTATTATTTCATCTTTTAATCATTTTATTAACATTATTTATTTAAATATTATTTCTCATTAATGTATATTTATTTTATTATCTTATTTTTTGTATTATAAAATGATTTATTTTTAATGAATGAATAGAAATTTATCATTTAAATCTTTTGAATCGTAATGTAAAATCAATAAAAATATTATAAAACAAAAAATATTAAATTTTATATTGTATATTAAATTTAAAAGAAATTAACATTATATTATAGTATAACTTTAATAAATAACACATATCAAAAACATAATGAAGAATTGTTGATTTAAATGATAAATAACAATAAGATATTTTGATAATGAAAAAGAAAAGTAATTTTAATGAGAAGATTAATAATAATAAAATGTATTAACATAAAAACAAGAAATGAATAAACAGAAAAATATAGAAAAACAAGAAATAAATATAAATAATATAAATAAGAATATGATAAATAAAGTTTGTTATCAAGAAAAGAAAATATTCAGAAATAAAAATAGAACATAAAAAACAAATAAAGACATATATACAATTAGATTTTATGATTATTGAGAAGTGATTATTTCATTGAATTCAATATACTCTATTTATACAATTGAGTTCATTTCTAACATATGAGAATTAGAAGGTTCATCTTCTAATGTGTTGCCAGTGTTGAATATGTAGAACATTAAGTATTTTATGTTTTTTATAATGATTGTTCTTAGTATTTTGTTGAATTCAATTTGTTATTTTAGTGTTTTTAATCTTCTTATTGTTTCTTTATATATTAATTGATTGTTAATATTACAAGTATTATTTCTACATAAATTATTTCTCTACTTTGTATTAAGTTCTCTTGTAGTTCTTTGTATTTATTTATTTTGTAAATATAATTTAATTCAGTGTTTCTATCTTGACATATATCAATATCATTAATATATCCTTTTTTTCATTGATGTTTTGATAATATATATCTGGTATTCTAACATTAAAAGAATGGTTACTAACCAATAAATCTTTATTGTAAGTCATAATCATTTCATTATTATTAATACATTTATGATATGTATTAAAATCAAATTTCATTAAATTCATTAAAATGGGTAATTAATATATGTTTATATATTTGTTTACATACATAATCGTGTTTTGATATTTGATTCTTCTTCATTACAGGACATCCTAACAAAGTGTGGCTAATAGATGCAATTGTGATAGGACAATGTTTACAATATTTTAATATATTAATATGAAGTAAATTAGAATTAATACTTCCTGTCATAATTACTCCTTCTTGTATCTTTATTACTTGGAGGAATATATTTCTTTTTATATTTAATGACATGTGGCTACTGTTAATTTCATATTATTAAATATACAATTTATATTTCTTATATATTCACTACATTTCTTTCCATTCATTTAAATATCTTTCATTTATTTTATTTGTTACAAATTCAATTACTTTGCTTATATCATGTTTTATTTCATTTATTTGTATTATATTAATTCATTGAAATTAATTTTCTTACCAAATGCTCTCTTCATTCTTTTAATTATTCATTTTGGATTCTCTTTTACTAATTCTATCATTTCTAATATTTCTGTATTTGATATTTATATTTTAAATATATTCTTAATAATTCATTACAACATTCATCTCGTGCTGACATTAATCTCATTCATAAATCTTTTATTGTAACATATAATCTACTTTTATTGATGTTTCTACTGTATAGTTGGAGTTGTATCAATGATTTTCTTATTTATTTATCTATATTCTCAAATTCACCAAGTTTCCATTTAATAATACAGAATCCATATCTTAATTTTGAGATTATATCATTATTAATCTTTCTTATTGTATTGAGGTTGCTATATTTCATAATATTTAATGATGATAGAATAGAAGATACATCATTTAATATTATTGCATAATATTTATTAATATTTATTTTATCTCTTATTTCAATACCAAGATATTTATAATGATTATTATTAATGACTCTTGGTAATTCAGCTAATTCTCCAATTATTTGATCATTGATATTATTCATTTTCACACTCTTTTCTACATTTATTTTTAATCATATTCTATTAAATATTTCTTTTGTTAATTTGTGTGTTTTTTTTTCATTTCTTCGAGGTTGTTAGTTATTATCTTTAAATCGTCCATATATAATATGTGGTTTAACTGTACTTGTTTTTCTTCTCCATTCATTTTAATAGATAAAATATTAATTTGTTTATCTAATTATTTAGATAATATAACAATAGATAATACAAATAATAATTTAGATAAACTATCATATTGTATTATTCCTCTTTCTACATTAATTAAACATTTATTTGTTGATTATAATATAATTATAGTTGTGTAATAATTAATATATATATAATATACTTTTAATTACAACTAATGGGATGTTAAAGTAAATTAAACATTGTTTAACCCATTGATGATTAATACTATCATATGCTTTAGAGACATCATAATATGTTTCTACCCACTTCCATTTATCATTAATTAATAACTGAATGATTATATTATTGTATAATAATCATTCTTTTGATACATATGTGTATGTTTTACAACCAATTTGATTTTGTGATAATTGTTTTTCAATTTGATTTAACATTAATTGGATTTCTATCTTCATCTTTAATAAAGATGTATATACTTTTAACATACAATTTAAACAAGTTATTTGTCTGTAAGTTTGTTTATATAATTTATCTCCTTTCTTGTATATTAATATTATTCTTCCTTGGATAAATTGAATATAGATATCATTATGATTATACAATATTTCATTAAATAATTTTAATAAGAAATTCTTTGGTTGTTCTAAATATTTAATCCAGAATCCTTGTACTATAATAGGATACAAATATTTTAAAAGAAAATAATAATAAAATAATAATTTTCAAACAGGAAATATTTAAAATTCATGTAGAAGGAGTTTTGTTTATTCATTAAGAATACAAACAATTGTTGTTTTTGTCTCGTTGTTAATTGTGATGATTGTAAATATCTCAAAATAAGTGACAAATAAATTTTTAATATTTTCAGTTTAGCTTTATTGATTAAATTTATAATTATTGATAATTTATTTTATTGCTCTTGTCTGTTCATTTTATTACAAAAAATTTCAATCAAAAT